ATTTCTCTTATTGTCAGTAAATCCCAAAAGACCAAAACCAACAACGAATGCGTCCACTAACTAATTACTGTGTGTGTAGAGTTTATCTGTAGTTTATCTGGACTCAATCTCACATTCAGTCCTGCTGCAGGAAAAACTCACTAAAGCACCAAACTTGGATTCATCCGCCGCTGAAAATAGTCCCCACCATTCGCACCGTTTCCTCCTGTTTTAGTAACGTTTACTAAAAGCTACAGTGAACAGCTGTTGGAGGAAATTATAGATGTTCATTAGGAACCAGTGAGTTTGGAAGCCACATTGTTGGTTTTGGACTTTTAATTTAATCTGTTGACTGTAACAAAAGTTTAAAAGTAAAAAAGGTCCAGTGTGTCACATTTAGGAGGATCTACTGGCAGAAATGTAATATAATAATCACAGGTATGTCTTCATTAGTGTATAATCACCTGAATATAGGAATCATTGTGTTTCTGCTGCCATACAATGACTCATTTTATCTTTCAGTAGAGGCATCGTGTTTCTACAGAAGCCCAGAACAGACAAACCAAACACTGGTTGTAGATAGAAAAGCGTCGTACCGTCACTGCTGGATGCCACTAAATCCTACACACTGGTCCTTTAACTGCCGGCCGTATTTAAAGCCCCCCACTGATGTTTGACCTTCAGGCAGAATGATGTATGTGCATTTACACCTGGCATTAACAGGCAATCTGTATCTGGGTATGTTAAAGGAATGTCATGTCTTCCAACAGGATAACAAAATCCTGACCCACCTCACTCTGACTGTCCAGCAGTTATAGTTTTAAATTGAAGAAATATTAAAATCCTATAAATTCTGGATTTGTTGGGAAAGAAAAACAGACAAAATTGTTTATTCCAAGTATTTTTATTTGTTTTAAAACATCTAAAACGATGGCAGCTTTACCTGAAGGACACCAAACTAAAGTGTATATATATATAAAGTTAGTAGACCGGATAACTTCTGCAGTTTGTTGTTAATCCTGCATTAAGAGTTTTCTCCACCATCCAGTATTTTACTACGTTGACCTGCTTTGATTTCCCGCTGCATGGAAACAGTCTGTATTGTTTGTTCCTCTCGCATGCCGATCATTTCCCACCAGCAACACGTCCGTCCGTCGCACGCAGCTACCAACCAGAAACCTTCAGCAGTCGTTGCGGTAGCCATGTTGTTGTTTCACTATGTGTTGTCAGGGTGAAGGAGCTCACCGTCGACCCCGCGGCAGCGATGGACGGCCGCCAGGGAGGACACGTGAACCAGCTGGAGGTGCTGGAGGCTCAGTGGGGAGTCGGGAGCTCGCCGCAGAGAGACGACCTGAAGCTGCTCTGTGAACAGAACGTAAGACAAAACTAACTCGTTCAGTCAGCTCACGTTTAAAATGATATTCACCTCTCTGAAGGTTTGTCGCTTTAATCCTCTCCCAAAACGTAACAGTTGTTACAAATACATTTAAAAACCTTAATAATTGCCCCTTTAATTGCTTACAACTACATTATAGTGCGTTAAAATGTGTGTTACTGCTTATAAATGCTAAACAAAAGGGGTTAAAATAAAGTGTTGTTGAAATACGTTCAAATTTGAGCATGAATCTAATCGCAAACACTGCATATATCCAAAATATATATGAATTATTGCCACCATAACTTTTGACAGCTTAATATGTCACAAACATACAGTTCTATAATATTTGTGATGTTTTATTTCAGTTGAGTATTTTAAAAATATGACCACGAAGTAACATCCCAAAATATATGTTTCCAGACTGTTTTCTAAAATGTATAATTCTGAATATCTAAAAATAAATACGACTTCACACCTGAATGTTGTTTGAAGACAATGTGAATGTGCTAACAGCAGTTCTTGATCCCAGTTTTCGGACTGTAAACTGCAGACTGTGTGTGTGACCTGGTCCTGTTCTCTGTAGGAGGAAGAAGTTTCACCGCAGCTCTTCACTTTCCACGAAGCCGTCTCTCAGCTGGTGGAGATGGAGGAGCAGGTTCTGGAGGACCACAGGGCGGTGTTCCAGGTACAGCAGGGCCTTTTACTTCAGAAGTGGAGTCTACAGTAGATCAGAGGGTGTTGGTGATCAATAAATACACGCTTAGCCAATCACAGGAAAGCAGCACAACAAATGAGGCTTCTTAGGAAGTCATTTTGTAGTTTCTAATTGTTCATTTTACATTGTTAAACATTCTTACGTAATCGCTGGGTTTATGATAATCACCAGATGGTGCCAGAAACAGACGTGACACTGATTTCTAGAGAGCCAGTTTACACCAAAACACCAACAACTCTATTTGTGCTTCTTAATTTGAATAAAACTCCTATTAAAAGAACCAAAAACACACAGAGAGAGTTAATTTCATGGTCAGAGCCCAAAGGATTATTACTGAAGTATGTTATAATACAAAAGCTGCAGCTCTTTCAAAATGTGACGTTCCCTCAAGTAGTCAACATCTTGATTTTCCATTTTACTGTAGAAATGTAAGGCAGCTGTTTATTCACACTCTGTTCATCAGTCTCACATTACAAACAACAGGAGGTGTTAAACTGCAGCGTGTCCTTACAGGAGTCGATCCGCTGGCTGGAAGACGAGAAGGTGCTTTTGGAAATGACGGAAGAGGTCGACTACGACGTCGAGTCGTTCGCAACTCAGCTAGAACAAATCCTGGATCAGAAGATAGACATTCTCACCGAGCTGAGAGGTAAAGATCATTAAATGTTTAAAGTCCTTTTACACAGTTTTCTCGTCTTTAATTAAGTCTTAAGCTCATGTAGAAAAACCAGCCTAATAAACCACAAAACACAAGTTGTTGAGGAGATTCTATAGATCAGCCTATAGTCCTGAGAACCAGGAAAAACATAATTTTCGAGGAGTTGAACACAACAATTCAGTCACAAACAGTCATATAATTTACCGGTAGGCCTAACATCGACATTAAGTCTAGTTTTCTGCTTCCTTTTTTTAATTGTGCTGGAAAAGGAACGTTTAAAAGAGCACTACTTTTCCGAAAATGTTATTATTTTTTCTGTTAAAGTTGAACTTGGCAACTTTTTCAGCTTATAATAAACCCGTTTAACAATCTATTTTGATGGTTAAATGCCTGTTCCAGTAAAATGGTGACCCCCACCCCCCTCTTGCGACCCCAGCGGAAAACCCAACCCTTGTACTCTTGGGACTACCATCCGGTAAATTGGAGTTGATAGTGAATGTATCGCGAGAAGCGAGAACGAGCTGGAGAAACACGATGACGGCTTTAGCGGCATCCACATAAAGCGCGGACACCGCCCGCCCTCAATTAACGGTTACTGTATAATGTGATTACCCACCTCGCGG